AGAGGAAGGGAGAGGGAGCGAGAGATAGAAACACCAATGATGAGAGAATCATTGATTGGCTGCCTCCTGCATGCTCCACACTGGGGGTCGAGCCCGCAACCTGGGCATATGCCCTGACCTGGAATCGAACCATGACCTAGTTCATAGGTCTTCGCTCAACCAACTAAGCCACACTGGCCGAGCTGGGATGGGGTGGTTTTTTTTGTTTGTTTGTTTTTGGGGTTTTTTTTCACTATTAATTTTTATTCAAATTCATCATATCAAAGATTGGCTCTTTCTGGGAAAATTTTTTTATCCCCACAGGTTGGATTAGGGCACTTCCTCTGGGGCCCTAGTACTTTTCTCCAGGTTGGGAGCCCCAGGGCATCTGCTGCCCCTTTGGGTCCCTGGCCTGGCCCTGTGGGCACACAGTCCTTAAGGACACAAGAAGTACTAGGGAGAAACGAGCTGTTTAGGCATTGCTCTAAGGAGTGGGAAGTGTGCACCTGCCCCATTAGTGCTTGCTGGCTGGTGGCTTTCAGCACTCCCACTCCCATAAATGCTTTGCACTTTGCCACTGCAGGTCCCTAGCACAACCCACGGGGTCCTTAAAAGTCATCATCATCACAGATGTCAAGGTACACATCGAAAGCCTCTCTGTTGCAGTTTCCATCAGGAGTGAAGACATATTTGTGGAAGGTCCCATCTACACAGATGGCAATGACAGAGTTGACGTTCTTGGAAGTGTTGCGACCAAAGGCGCAGATGCAGGCGGACTCAGCAGGCACTGTGAAACTCGCCAGGCTCCACTGAGAGTCCACGTATTGTCCAATCATAGCCCCGACTTTGCCCACTCGAGCTAGCGCAGAGCGGCGGTTGAGGCGGGTATCCTTGAGGGCAAAGATGTGGACCGTGCCCTTATCACTGGAAGCGCACAGGAAGGAAGAGTCATGGCTGAAGTTGATGCAGTAGAGGGTGGCAGGATCAGTGCCTCGGCGTAGTTCCACCAGTTTTTCCTTGGACTGTGTGTCAAAAAGGCGAATAAGGGTGCCCTTCTGGGAGGCCGAGGCCACTACGGTGCCTGGCTGGTTCAGGGACACACAGGCCACGTCGCTCTGATGTGCGTTGATGGTAAATGGCGCAGATGAAGTGCCTGGCTTTGTGCTTGCCAGGTCCACAAGTTGCAGACTCCCGCACTTGTGTCCTGGGAACACTAGCAGCTGTTTCTCCAGGCTGGGGCAGAGGTCACAGAGCCCCTTTGGGTTGTCCCAGGTGTCGAACTCAAACAGCTTCCGGGGATTGTCAGGGAAGGAGTACACATAGATGCGGTTCCTCAGCACAATCACAATTTTGTCATGGCGCACGCGCACAGCCAGCACTGCCTTGGTGAAGGTGAACTCCAGCACCAGCTTGTCCTTGGAGGCCTTGCCCTCCCGGGCATCATCCCAGATCAGCACTGAGATCTCTGAGAACTTGGGACTGCTACCACCACCCACCAGGGCCAGCAGGTTGGAGCGGTACAGCATTTCCACCAGGCCCATGCTGCCCACCTGCTCATGGTCCAGGTGCCCCTTCTCCATCAATGGTTCCACGTTGTAGATGTGTACACCTGTCTCCATGGCACAGCAAAAGCAGCTTTGGTCTTGGTTGAAACGCAGGCTGGTCACCCTTCGAAGTGGTTGCTGAGTCATGATTCAGGACTGCTTCCCTGGATACAAAAGGGGATAGGCTGGGCTGGGTTTTTGATAGGTAGATAGGGAAAATGATGTGACAAGTACAATAGGAAGCATTGTGTGAGCAACAAAAAATATGTAAATATAAATGAAATGTTGAAGTAGGTTCCACATGGATTGACCAGAGAGAACACAAAGTTAGATAAAAACAGAACAGTAAGGTGGGGCCAGTCTTATGTTAGCCTTGAGTACCAGGTTAGAGTGTCTGGGCATTATTTTGTGGATTGTTTTAAAAGGGAGACACTGAATAAATATTTTTGAGCAAAGGACTGACAGGATAAAGTGATCATTTAGGAGATTAAAAGATCTCCTATAAAGGCCAGAAGGAGAAGAGTTAGGAGACTGTCTCCAACAATCCATAATCTGAACGTGTGAGCTGCAGAACTGAACTGCTTGAGGAGCTTGACATTAGCAACAGTGGCAGAGCTGATGTAGCAGGCGTGAGGATGCGTGGCTTGGATGGCCCTTCAGCTGGAAGAATATGGTTAGCTAATAGCAGCCTCCGGCCCAGCACCTTTGGGTCCTACCACAGCAGCATTCAAGCTGCGGTCACCATCTACCCGGGAAGCCTGCCTGTGACTGAGCATGGCAATGTGACTAGGGTCTAGCCATTTCTGGCCAGTGCAGGACTTCTCTACCAGGCAGCCTTTGCCCCGGAGCTTCCCACTGGCTCCGACTTTCCTAGATCTCCATCAGGGTCTGAGGCTCTCCCTGTCCAATCCCGTTTCCTCCCTTTTCTTCCACAGGTGGCAGGTCAGCATCGGGGTCTGTAGAGCTTTCCCTAATTAATCCTCCTTCCTCCCCCTTTACCTCTTATAGGTGTCCTACCACACTCCCCAACTACTGGGGGGGCGGGGGGAGGGGGAGGAACTTTGGAAATATGAAAAGTTACACATTATTCAAGTAAAAATTAAACTCATAGCCTGAATTAAATGTGTCTAATAAAGGCATTTCTAATTTTATTTCATGGACCAGAAAACTAAGAAATGTGATAATAGTGATTTTTGGATTGAGAACAACACCAAGGTCACACTGCAGATTTGAATGAGATTTCTGCATTCTGAAATCTTTTCTCTGATTTAACTTGAGATTAAGTACAAGACGAAAGTTCTATTTGACATTTTTTTAATTTAGAGAAACCAATTTATTTTAAAGAGAACGTTTTCATCTCACAACTGAAAGTAATAATGGGATAAGTGGGAGGAGCCAAGCAGTTTTCTGAGACAAGTACTGCAGCTGGGGTTCAGCAAATACGAGAGGCAGTAGACACAAGAACTACGTCCTTCAGATAGCAAAGATCCCTGGACCTTCTTTGAAATATATTTTATGTCTGTGTTCATGAGGCACTTCTGCGAAAATGGAAAGATGCTCCTGTCATGGCAGGGTTGAAAAAATAGATATGAATGTAAAAAGAACTGTCTCAAAATACACCAACTCGATATTCAGAATTTAACGGAAACGCTAGATGACAGACTAACACTATCAGCTAAACATAACCACTCTTCCTGTTTTGTTTGGTGGGGGAAGTTAGAGTGCAATGTTAGAGTATGTTTTGTGTGTGCGTTAGGCTGGGGGAGAGTAATTGGCCACCGAGTTTCAGTTGCTCAGAGGTAAGAGTAACGTGGGAATGAAATTGTTACACTGAAGTAGCTTTGAAATAATATGTAACTATTTGGTTAAATGCCTAATCATTTCATTCCTATTTTTTTTTAAATATATTTTATTGATTTCTTACAGAGAGGAAGGGAGAGAGATAGAGAGTTAGAAACATCGATGAGAGAGAAACATCGATCAGCTGCCTCCTGCACATCTCCCACTGGGGATATGCCCGCAACCAAGGCACATGCCCCTGACCGGAATCGAACCCGGGACCCTTCAGTCCGCAGGCCGATGCTCTATCCACTGAGCCAAACCGGTTTCGGCTCATTCCTATTTTTAACTGCTACCCGATACAACAGTTTCCTTGAAACATTTCAATAATATAAATTCAAATTGTTGCTCTCAGTCCTTAACCCCTGCCTAGCATGACCTCTCCCCTGCCAGTTTTCTATTTTACACATTTGCTATCACAAATTATTTTCCTCCTTATTCTACAAATTCCCAATTTTCTACTTTTTCCTCACACCTTTCATATCTTTTTCACAACCCTCTACTCTCAACTGAGGACACTGCCTCATACTTCCCTGATGAAACAGAAGCCATCACAAGTTGCTCATCATCCCATTCCCAAATCTATAATTCTATCTGCATCTGTACATTTTTTTCCTTCTTCCCTCCCTTTCAATGAAGGGAGCATCTCTTCTCCCATTATTTTGTTCCTGCTCTGAATCCAATTCCTCTTTCTCCATGTCATTATCTCTCCCTTCCTAATAAATCATTCTTTTTTATTTTTAATATATTTTTATTAATTTCAGAGAGGAAAGGAGAGGGAGAGATAGAAACATCAATGATGGGAGAGAATCATTGATCCATTGCTTCCTGCATGCCCCACAATGGGGATTGAGCCTGCAACCTGGGCATGTGCCCTAACTGGGAATCAAACCATGACTTCCTGTTTCATAGGTTGATGCTTAACTACTGAGCCACACCAGCTGGGCTAATAAATTATTTTGATCCCAAACAAACACGAGTTAGTATCTCTCACCTATTAAAAAAAAAGTTTTCTTGAGTTATAATATCTTTAAGCTACATTCTCTTCTTTTGCTTCCTCTCATAGAAAACTTCTTGAAATATCCTCTCTATACATGCTCTATACTCCCTCACCAAGTCACATTTTTTAAAAAATTTTTCACTGGAAGATATGTTTTTACTGATTTTAGAAAGAGGGGAAGGGGGAGGGGGGGGAGGGAAGGAGGGAGGGAGGGAAGGAGAGAGAGAAGTGTATGATAGAAACTTCAATCCATTGCCTCCCGTATGAGTCCCCACTGGGTATGGAACCTGCAACCTAGGCATGTGCCCTGACTGGGAATCGAACCAGCAACATTTAGGTGCATGGGATGTTGCTCCAACCAACTGAGCTACACCAGTCAGGGCACTAAGTCACTCTTGAATCCTCCCCAACCAGTTTCCTTACCCTGCCATGCATCTGAAATTGTGCCTGCCAAGATCAACAATGATCTCTACAGGGTAAGGCAAAAGTAAGTTTACAGTTGTGAGTATGCAAAACACAGTTTATTCTTTTCATTATTTATTAATTATTTTATTATTTTCCATATGAACAACTGTAAATCTCCTTTTGCCCCAACCTGTATAGTCCCAATCCATTGGCCACTGTGGTCCTTACCTTACTTGATTCTTCAGCAGCATCTCTCTCCCTGGACACGCTCTCCACTCAGCATCCGTGCTGCCACTCTGCGCAGAATAGTGAAGACAGCAGGCTTGAGATGGTTATCCTTCCAAGGAGCTTACAACACTGGCCCTGAGCTAGCATTTGGGAACTTGATTTTCAACAGTGTTCCTATGGTTCCCTAATAGAACGATGGCTCACTGTGCCTAGCTAGACTATATAAACAGTGTGGTTTATGCTGAACACCTGCTTTCCTTCTGGGAACCTGGACTTTTGCAGGCAGAGGGTGCCTACATGATCAGACCCAGTAAACAATCTTGGGCGCCGTGTCTCTGATGGGCTGCCCTCAGTAGAAACATCACAAACATGTCGCTGGGCATTTTCATTTCTGGGGGAAGAGCATGCTCTGCGTGGCCCCTCATGGGAGGAAGAGGACATAAGGAAGCTGCCCGGGATTCCTCCAGACTCCAGCACTGTTTTCCCCTTCTAGCCCAGAGCTGTGTGCTTACTACATCACTGTGATCAATCTTAGCTGGGAGTACAATTACATGCTGATTCCAGTGAGCCTCGGAGAGAATATCCATATCCGAACAGAGAGCACTAACCTGCCCTGGTTTTCCTTTTCTCTTGCTCCTTTGTTGGTTTGTCCTGCTCTGTCCCACTTGGAGGCTTCAAGGTTTTACTGTCTTCTCTTCTCTATCCTCTTTTTCAGGTGATCTAATTTAGACCCTTAACATTAAATATAATATCATCTATATGCTGACAACTTCAAAATTTATATTTCCACTAACTCTAGAAACTGAAATCCAAATGCCTACTGGTACTTGAATCTTCACTTAGGATCTTGTACTGCGGTTGTTTGTTTGTTTCTTTGTTTGGTAAGATTTTTCCGTTTATGTTCAAAAAGGATTAGTCTAAAATTTCCTCACTCCATTTTGGGGTCAAGTTTGAATTAGTGCTAGTTCCTAACTGCAAACTGCCAAGGCATATTTTTAACCTTCGTCACTTATCTCTAAAGCACCTCACTGTTCACCACTGGCTCTCTCTTCAATGTACTGGCTATTTTTGTTATGACAATGACAATGACGTCCAGAGTTATCTTTGTAAATGACAAGGCTCCTCCTGTGATGCCCCTGCTCAGTGCTTACGGGATAAACCACAAACACCTGGGGAAGGCATGCACGATTAGTTGGAATCTGGTCTCAGCTTTCCTTGTCTCTTCTCTTGCCATTATCCACACTTTCTGTGCTCCCACCACACAGTAGTCATGGCTACCTAGCCTACCCAGGCCTGCTGAAAACGCCAGGGCTTTCTACATACTGATACCTCTGCCTGGGGAATATGTATCCACCTGACTTCAGGACCCTAATGACACTGCTCAGCTTCCCCCAAATGTCTGGTGACTGCCCATAGCACTGTATTCATATAACTGAAATAGCTCTGGGAATAAAAATCTAAAATTCTTAACCCAATTTACAAGGCACTGTATGATTTAACTCTGTTTACCTTCTCAGCCTTATCTCCCCTTTTCCCTTCCCTCCCTGAGCACACAGGTCTTTTCAGGGCTTCTCAAATGAGCCAACTTCTTCCGCCACGTCAAACTCCCCCTCGTACTGTTTTCCTAGCAGGATCGTTTCTAATTCTCCTTCTGAACCCATCATTCACCAAATTCTACTTCCTCAAAAGAGTCTTTCTAGGCCCCCCTGTTCTACACAATCAGAGCCCTCTTCTTCCTATTAAAGAATTTAATGAAATTATAATTAAATACCTGTAGGATGAGTTGTTTGATGTCTGCCTGCTCCACTAGACAGAGAGCTCCAGGATACCAGGAATTAGACCAAAATGGATCTTTTAGGAAAAGAAATATTTTATGTTAAATTTTAAATTGTGCGTATTTTTAGCATACAAATCTCTTCTCACCTGAACCTGTCTATATTTTATTTACACACACATAGAAAGCTTTGTGTGAATGGTTTGTGGTATGAAAATTATTAAATTAAGGGGGGAAATGCCAGCTCCATGTTTAGATGCAAGCATTACTAAAACAGGGACAACAGAAGCCTCATGGTAAGATGATGACTCAACAGAACTAGTTTAGCAGAAGCTGAAGTTTAGAGCTGAGAGTGACTATCGAAACATAAGCCCCCATCCTCCAAAATTAACAGAATTATTGGATGAGGCGTTAAGTATGTCCATCTGTGTAAGGGAGTTTGAATTATAGTCAGTCCTCAGTTAATGTCATCAAAAGGTTGTGCCTTTAAGCGAACCAATACAAAAAAACACACAATTTCACCATAGGCTAACTGATATAAACAAGAGTTAAGTTCCTATGTTATCTTATCAACATTATAACTAAAGGACATTGAGGACCTGCAGTGGTTTCATCTAGAGATCTTAAGAAGATTCCAACTGACATTTGTTACAATTTTATCTGTTTACTTGTTTGTCAATCCACTAGACAGTGAACTCCTTATGGACAAGTACTGTGTCATTCATTTTATGATCTCACACTTGGCACTCAGAAGGCAGTCAATACATGTTTACAGAATTAATGGATATATATTTCACGGTGGAGAACTAGGGATTTAATATTTCACAGACCCTTCTTGTGGGTCTGTAAATTAATATATACAGACTGTGGAGAATTAGGGATTTAACAACAGATCAGATACAGATGATCAAAAAATTCTCAGAACCAAAAACAGGTCTGATAAAGTTATTGAGAATGAGGTAGAGCGACAAAGATTTGAGAAGTGTAAGAAATAATGGAGATCAGAATGTAAAGGTACAGATATCCAATAGGAAGTCTATAAGGAGAAAACAAAAAAAGTTGTGAAAATAGATGAAAATTTTGTAGACTAATAAAGGATTTGAATCTTTTAAGAAACACGTATCCCTTGCAAGATTAATAAAAAGCCCACATGAAGTTACACTGTAGTGAAATGGCAAAACGCCTAACAAAAAGAAAAACTGTAAAATAATAAGAGAAAAATCCATTCCTTTAGCTATGAAATCTTCCTTGTTAAAAACTGAACTCCATATTTGAACTTTAGTGCAAATGAAGTGAAGTGGATAGTATGACTGGATAAAAAGGATTTTTGGATGACATATTCAAAACTTAAAAATCATACAGGGACTAGAAAAAGTCCTCATTTCTCAGGTCCAATATTCTGGTGTCTTTTAATAACTGTAACAGCTAGAGTTTGGATATTTGATTATACTAGAATGACTCATTTTTAAAGATTATGCTCTGGCAACAGAGATTCATTCACTTGCCAATATATCCCCAGGCCTAAATACATCACATATAGAAAAAAAGCAAGGCAGGAGAAGGCATGAAACTAACAACCTATTCTTTTGTTCACTGTTAAGAAGTGAATTATCAAGTAGTGGGCCAGTAAGTACATCAAAGATAAATATTTGATTGATAACTATCCCTGCCAATTCCTCCACCAATATTTTCCATGCAGGGATATTGTATGTTCTGGGTCTTCTAAGAAGGGTGATTACAGTCAGCTCCTTCAGGGATCTGATAAGAAGCCAATGTCTCCCTAAGGGTCTGAGTGAAGGAGTAATGGGCTGTTATTGTTGGCAGAGTATTCTGAGCTCTACGAGATACAAAATGCTTGGAAGTTGGTCTGGGGAGAAAACTGACCTCAGATTTTGGATTATTGTCTTCAGGGATGAGAAGACTACGTCACCCAGAGAAACTTAAGGTCTCCCAACCTTCTCACTTCAAGGGGTTTCAATAGTATTTTCTATTAAACTTCACAAGAATAACAGAAAGAGACTTCATCTCTTTTGCTCCAATAATTCTTTTTTTAAATCTATTTTTATTGATTTCAGAAAGGAAGGAAGAGGAAGAGATGGAAACATCAATGAGAGAGAATCATTGATCGGCTTCCTCCTGCATGCCCCCTACTGGGGATCGAGCCCACAACCTGGGCATGTGCTCTGACCTGGAATCGAACCATGACCTCCCAGTTCATAGGTCGATGCTTAACCATTAAGCCACACCAGCTGGGCTCCAAGAATTCTTTATTCTTTGCCAGTACAGACATCCAATCCCAGGAAACTTGGCATCACCTGGAACTGCTTCTTTGAAATAGTAAATCCAAACATTCCTGTTCCTCCAGATCCCATGCTCAGGCTAATCCTTGTACTGCATCAAGATCTGAGTCCATTGACTTCTACACTCTCTGCTTATTCTGCCCTTTTCTCTCTTCACTTTAACTTTGTGAGAAACAGTTTGCCACACAACACACTTTTTTGGTGTATTGATTTTTTAAGCTTATTATTTTTTAAGATCCAAAAGACTCCAGAAGAATCTTTGACCTCCCCCCTTAACTACGTAAAAAAATTTAGTAGAGGACCTGCTCCAGGAAGAGAGATATTATTATAGATAACTATAGTTTAATCTGAATTAAGTGTGATAGACAGGAAAGAACCTAGCCAAGTCTTTAATCAAAGTCCTCTTGGTGTCCCCTTGTTAAAGATGGTCCAACAAACAGTTGTTTACCAAACATTTGCTTTTTCACCTCCATGTGAATTGCCTTCTCCTTTGAAGCCTCAAACCACAAGCCCAACCCCCCCCTGAACCCCCTCCCCGCCTCCAGAATGACATATAAACCTCAACTGCCCAATTTGTCTTTGGGTCCCACATTCTTATGGAATCCCATAAGTACATACATAAAAATGTGGTCATTTTCTCCTGCTAATCTTTCTCATATCAACTTGATTATTAGACCAGCCAGAATAACTTAAAGGGGTAGAAGGATGTTAACCACAATCTCAAATATTCTCAACTCAGTTATCTCTGTTTAGAGAAGAAAATCCAATGAGATCATGTAGGTAAAGCACTGGCTGAGAGAAGTGCTCAGCCAATGCTAACTAACACCACACCTTCACCACCACCAACAGACATAACATTCCCTTACTCCTTTGTCATTCTATCATACCAGCCTGTAGGTACACAGCCTGAGCTGCTAAACATTATTGGAGAAAATCACTATATTGTGCAGACAGATGATGGCGTATTATACTTCCAACCTTCAGTGTCAAGCAATTCTGTTTCTCTAATTCGTTTTCTGAGTTTTGAGACTACTCTAAACCTCCCTCAATCTCCTCAAACCTCCTACCCATTCTCCTTCTTTTGCTTCACAGAAAACAAAATACAACAAAACAACAACAACAACAACACACACACCCCCTCAAAAAAAAAAAAAAAAAAAAAAAAAACACAAAACACAACACACCGAAAACAGGAACCATTGGAAAGAACTTCTCCAACTTCCAGTTACCAAATCTGCAAACCTTTCTGCATGTGCACCTCCCTTCCTTGCTTTTCTCCTCTGGCTCTGGAAGTAATCTGGATAACTGCTAAGGGCCAGACTCCACATTCTCTTCCATTCTCTGTCATCTTCACTCACCTATCTTCAGCCTCTCTCTCAAGCTACTTCTAGTCAATATTTAAACATTTAAATATATCCCACCTTCAAAATTTCCTCCTTTTATTTCAGCTAACTCCTAATCTCTCTCTTGTTCTTCTCAAAGTTTTTTAAAAAATATTTTATTGATTTTTAGAGAGAGGAAGGGAGAGGGATTGAGAGATAGAAACATCAATGAGAGAGAAACATCATCAATCCACTGCCTCCTGCACGTCCCTACTGAGGATCCAGCCTAAAATCCAGAATCAAACCAGTGACCTCTTGGTTCCTGGGTCAACACTCACCACTGAGAAACACCAGCCAGGCTCACTCAAAGTTTTTTAAAAACACAGTCCACATTTGCTGTCTCTATTTGTTTACTTCCATTTTTCCATCATTATTGTAATCTGGTTTCCATTCCTACACTTCGCTGAAACTATTCTTTTAAAAAAATAAATATATTTTTATTGATTTCAGAGAGGGAGAGGGAGAGATAGAAACATCAATGATGAGAGAGAATCATTGATCAGCTGTCTCCTGCACTCAACTGGGATTGAGCCCACAACCTGGACAATGAGCCCACAACCCAGGCATGTGCCCTGACCAGGAATTGAACCGTGACTTCTTCGTTCATAGATCAATGCTCAATCTCTGAGCTATACTGGCTGGGCCACTGAAACTCTTCTTAGCTGCTTTATCAGTAATTCCAAGGAACCCTCTCAGTTCTCATTCCATTTGACCCATCAGGACCTTTTGTGGGGTTAATCACTTCTTCTGTCTGAAACACTGTTTACAGGAATGCCACTTTCCTAGACCTCCTCCTCCCTCTCCCACTGCTTCTTGAGCATTCTTTATGGTCTCTCTCCTTTCTCTCTCTCAAACCCTGAGTTCCTCAGAGTTTGGTCCAGGACCCTATTCTTTTCATGCTGTTAAATTAATTAAACAAGGAGATCATTAGACTGAGGTGGCACTAATGCTTTGGCAGCCTACTTAAGCAAACCAAAATCTAGGTGTGCCTCAAGGTTATGAAATCTAAATGCCAAGGACAATCACAAACAGCCCACTAGGCTTGAAGCCATAGCCAATCAAATAGTTTCCTTTATTGGCTTCAACACCTTCTCTACTGTATAAGTCTTTCCCCTGGCTCATGTCAGTGGAGCACCCTTAATCACTCCAGGTTTGGCACTGCCCAGCTGGAATCAATGGTTGCTCAGATAGACCCCGGTGGGGTAGCTCAGTTGGTTAAAGCATTGTCCCAAACACTAAGGTTGTGGGTTCAATCCCTGGCGAGAGCACATATAAGAATCAACGTATGAATGCATACATAAATGGAGCAACACAACAAATCCATGTTTTTCTATCTCTCGCCCCTTCCTCTCTCTCTCTCAAATCAATTAATAAAAATGTTTAAAAATTGTTGCTTAAAATAAACTCTTCAAAATTTTAATTGGCTCAGTTTATCCTTTAACAATACTCTATATCTCATTCCTTCTAACCCATGTATATGCTAATCTATATCCCAGTTTAGATCACCTTCCTCATCCATTATGTCAAAATACTTAGCCATCCCGTAGGCATTCTGCCTCCAAAGCTGTTTCTGCGGTGTCCTCTATCTCAGGGAAAGAACTCGGACATCATCCTGTCTCTTCCCTCTACCTCACTCTTACAAACAGCTATCAAGCCCAGGCCTTTCTACTTGCTGAAATGGCTCTCAAATCATTTCAACTGACATCCAGGCCATTGTGTCACATCTTAAGGGATCCTCTGGTACCCAACCTCGTCTGTTCTAAATCATTCTCATTCAAAGCAGAGTGATTGCTCAAAAAATGTAAATGACATCATACCACCCCTATACTAAAATCTTGCAGACTTTCCTGTCGCCTGTAGGATAACACTCTAAAAAAATCCCTAACATTTCCTCTGTGGTCTCAATTCTTGCAGTCAATCTTCAGCCACTCTGGACTTCTTTCAATTCCTAGAGCGAATGCATACTTGAGGCCACAGAGATGTCCCCTCAGGTGAAAGATACTTTCTCCTCCCTTCTTTTCCTAACCAACTCTGCATTTAATCCTTAAATCCAATATACACCGAGTGGCCAGATTATTATGACCCCCTGACGTTTGCAGGCAAATTAGCTATAATTTTGTGCTGAAGTTGCTAGAGGGCCAAACCATTATAAATAGGGAAGCAGGTTGTTTACCACAACAGAAGTGATTTTTTTCTGAAGATATGGGTAAACAACGCGATTTAACAGCCTTTGAATGTGGGATATATATATGTGTGTGTATATGTATGTGTATATATATATATGTGTGTATACACATATATATACACACACATACACACACTGAGTGGCCAGATTATTATGACCACCCCATCAGTACTTCATTGGGCCACCTTTTGCCTTCAATACTGTGGCGATTCTTCTTGGCATCAACTCCACGAGATGTTGAAAGATGATGTGAGGAATCTGACACCGTGCCTGATGAATAGCACTGTCCAGTTCTGTGAGATTTGATGGTTGTGGAACCAGCTGCCTGAT